AGTTGGCAGCTATGATTTCGAAAACCTCTGCCCCTCCCCCAGTGTAATGATCGAAACAGACATTCAACCAATGCTCCGCAAGGCCGCACCATTTCGGCTATCTTGTGGTCTCGAGGGCAAAATGAACGAAGGAGAGACATAGCTTGTTCTTTCCATTATACATGTATGCAACCTCAACGACCGCCAACTTAAGTAGTGGACCATAGGATACGTAGCTGCAACGCAAAATGAAGCCCCAGATTCCGAACAGAGTGTCCCTTTTCGGGACTAGCAACGGCCTGGGAAGCGTGGAGATCCCGCTTCTCGGTCAAATCACCAGTTTCGGGCTCAGCCTCTAGGACAACTATAAGACAGCTCGTGAGCCAGTCCTCGTGCGATATTGCAAATATGAAAAGCATCTTGTTTCAAATGGCCCCTATCCGACAAAGCAATCAAGAGCGTGGGCTAGCTCGAGAGAAATGCAGGGAGAAGTTGTCTCAGCACATCGGTACGTCCTTGTGTGGTCATGGTGATATTTCGTTCTCTGATAGCTCCCAGCCGAAAAGCTAGGCATCGTGATCAAGCCAGCCGAAGTTCGCCTGAGGCCCCGCACTGGCGATCCATATGCCTGGAGCATTCTCCCGCAAAAACGAAAGACGCTGGCGGAAATATTTGCCAAGAACCTGAGCGAGCACTCGATCAGTGCCTACCGAACCATCTGCGAAGAAGTCGGCCGTTCTTTTGAGGCGGTGGGCAAGGCCATGTCATCTTGTTCCACCATCGATCATATCACCACGGTATTCATGTCCCGATTCCCCATGTTGTGCGCGAGTCTATTCTCATCAGCCTAGGTTTCTCAGCCCGTAAGTTTCGGTACGGTCATCAGTCAACTGCAAGAAGAGAACGCCAGGCTTTCTACCGAGCTGAGCAACTGGATCGGCAAGGCGGAAGAGGAATCCACGCAGCGACAACTGGCCGCCAACGAGGTGCATCGCTTGCTATGCCACCAAAAGGAGTGTGAAAGCGAGGTTCGGCGTCGCATGGACGCCGCTACCTGTTTATACCAGAGTTGTTTGAAGAAATCCGTGGCGCAGCTCGATCAAATCCTTCCCACGTTGGCTGATCTTAAAGGGGATATCATTGGTACGTTAGCGGAATCGAGTCCGGAATAGACCCAGTTGTTTTTCGAAAGATGCAAGATGCAAAATGCAAGATGCAACGGCTTCTTGGCGTAAGAAACGAATAGACAGGTAAAATAGCATGGTTAGATAATACTGCAGCCCGTGGCTCGTGGTCGTCTACGGCGTGGCCGTCAAGAACTATCGACCCAACGGCGTAAAGGCAGGTGTATACGCAGGTCGGTAGACCTAATAGAAGTATGAAATATATCATGAATGTCTGGGGGACTCTTCAAGAGGATTGGGAACATGGCCCCTGTTCTCTATGCAGCTTTCACACTACTTCTAGCTAAGGTAGCAAGCAACCTCTTGGCAAGGCTCTACTCGTGGCCCTTCAGCCTTTGATATGAAGTTTAAGATAAATGTAACTAGAACAAAGCTACCGTCGCACATTTTAGTCCAGAGAAAGCCGCGTATTTTTGGTACCTGAAGAAGGAGCGTCCATCTCCCATGATTAACACGGGAACATTGAATGTACCATGGCATCTGTTACGATCCTGCCTATTACTTCTGTTAGTTCTAACTTCATAGGTCAGTACGTACTATTCGGTGCTTGGTTTGAAGGGTAACAATAGTCTGGGGTTAACGCAAGATGAATAATAATTCTGATCGCAAGAGAGGTTTCCTGGTACTCTCCATTCAAGTGCAGTCTGAATGCTTAGATTGATAGCTGAAGAACGAGTGACTAGATACAGTAGGAAATCCATCCTTATTATACTCATTCTTCCTTCATACAATATTCTGAATAGCGTGGATCGCAATCCTGAAATGCGATTCATGCTAATCATGGAATCGCTTCAATCGCATCCTCCTCAATATGCGATTCGTGCTATCACGTGATTCCATCCTACGGGTCCTGTATTCTTCCGATTCGGAGGGGTCGCCCTTTGGGTCGTAACAGCATCCTGATGCCCCCAATCGGCTATGGGTAGTCCGGAAAAGGTTGACATGATGTCCTCATACGGGCCAAAATCGTAGGAGTATTGGGATGGGACTGTTTCCGGCACCCTATTCTCGACATAGCCCCCTGTGTTCGATCCGTGATAATCCATAATGTTGACGCTGTCTTCAAACCGGGTCCCCAGCTCGTTTTGGACCGTCCGTGGCATCTCCTCCACTTCCATACCTGCTTCCCCAGTGCACCGTGGGATCTGTTCCTCGGACAAGCTTGGATCCGAAGGAGATTCGACCTTTACCTCGGGTTCCATACACCGAAGCTGCGATAGTATACCGCTTATCGTCATTTCGTCGTCGCTCAGCTCGCCGGGCTTGGCCGCCCGTAGTTTGTCCCCGTTCCGGACCATAGCATATAGCGTCTTGATGGCCTCCACTAAGGTGGACTGCGTATTTTCGAGTGCGTCCACATACCTGTCATCTCATTAGTCTGCCATTTCTCAGCGGGCTAAAGCCAGGATACATCACGTACCCCTCGAGCACGGTTTGTCTCGCCTTCTTTGTAACGCTGCTGCATAGAAGACCGACATCCTGACATCGCTTGCACGGCTCTCCTGTACACCTTGTTTTATGCTTCCTGCACGCGTAGCAGGCCTTTCTCGGCCTCTTGCATTGCGCAGCTCTCGTATACGTAGGGGAGGTCGGTTGCGATGGCAGGTTTTGCATGGGGGGTTGGTCGGCCGTGTTGGGTTGGATTGTCGCCAGTTTCCTCGCCATGACGCTAGGCTATTGTTTGCATCGTAACAGCTAAAGAATGAAAGGTGCAACACCATAGTATGTAGGCAACGCTTATAGTTCGCCCTTTAAGTAGTATACTATGTCCTCCCTACCCGCCCACGGGAAGAGGCGAAGACGGACATCGTGTCACCAATTGCCTTGTTTCGGAAAGCGGCGAGCAGATTAACCGACACCAGCATACATGATTTCTTAAAGCTACTGTAGTTCTTTGATCTAGTACCTACATACGGTGTGTAAGTATTGGGACGTACATAAACTCGAAATGGCCAAAGAGTTCTTTACACCTCCTTTCGGGAAAACGGCTTTGGATATGCCGAAAGGGACAAAAGGGGAGGAAAGGATAGGCGAAGCATGGGAAGTTAAGAAGGCCCGCATCGGGATGAGATAGAACGAGGGGTGTGGTGCATATACACGTACATATGTACATAGCTTCATCAGCGCTTGATTACTCTCCCTAGAAGCACGTTGGGCCTTTTGTTTTGTGTATATTGCATGTATGTTCAGTATATAAGTTATACTAGTTCGTCTACCCAATAGGTGGATGATTCATGTACTTCGGGTCAGATTATGGGCCGGAGGGGACGCCAGGGAAACAATAGAAACAAGAACACGATGGTTAGGGTCCATATCTAACCTAACGTTGCAAAAGGGATGCGCTACTATGACATCACGAGGTTACAGTGAAGTGTTGCCAAAGGAGATCGTATGTGAGACTTAGGTAGGGGATATGACATACGTAGGCATACGTATGTGTTATCTAGAGGCCACGAATATGTGCGAAAGAGAGAGGCGACAGCGACGGAGGAGAACGAAGAATGGGAATCCCAACGAGATCATAGCCTACGTGAACAGGAGGCGGCAAAGGAACGGGCAAGCTCATTGGCCAACATAAACGCAACCTCTATATACTGCTCGTAGTATGATTGGTGAGGAGGTTAAAGCGTGGAGTATAGGATAGCTCGCATGTATGCGTCCATTATCATGTGAACGGAACCAGTTCCAAGGGCGAGAGAACGACCCCCGCCTTGATGTTGTATTCAGATCGATGGAAAGGGTCTACAAAGGCCTATACCGTATTCCGTGACCCAGTATATGGAGTTACGGCGCTTATTGTATCGAGGGGAGCCCTCTTCCTGGACTCGAGGACAAGAAATGGTCCTAATCGTTCCGAATTCGCCGCACCGCAGCAAAT